GCAGGGCGGGGGACATGACGGCCAGCTGCAGCAGGAAGGGCACGGTGGCCTTCTGCTGCGGGTCCCGGGCGGGGCCCAGGCTGCCGTGGAACATGCGCAGCAGCTCCTGCTTGATGTTGGCCGAGTGGCGCGAGGCCAGGTGGCCCAGGATGCCCACCACCGAGGCGATCTTGGGCACCCGCTTGTCGGCGGTGGCGGCGCTGGGGAAGAGCAGGAGGTCGGCGGAGGCGGTGCCGTGCATGCAGAAGTCCTTCAGCCCGCAGGACAGCACGCGGTTGATGATGGTGTTGGGGAAGGAGGAGCCGATGTGGGCCACCACCCAGTCGAAGTGCGGCGAGTGCTGCACGGACGTGTCCAGCAGGGCGTCCACGCAGGCGTCCGGGCAGGTGCTGATCATGGAGGAGAGGCACTGGGTGTAGATCTCCATCAGGGTCCGCGTGGCTTTGCAGGACATCCAGAGCTGCAGCAGCTCGTTCAGGCTGCTGGCGTGAGGCACGCCGTGCCGGCTGGCATACTTGCTGCTCAGCTGGCCCATCAGGTCGATGGACCAGGCCGAGACCAGGCCCGCCCAGGCCTTGGGGTTCATGTGGACGAACTCGGACAGCACGGCCTGGATCTCCTGCACCACGTCGTCCAGGTTGGGGCCCTGGGAGTGCAGGGAGCCCATCCCCCCCTCACTGCTCTCCAGTTCCAGCAAGTAGGTACACACGTACTCGTCAAAGACGCCGCGGAGATGGTCCAGGACCGCGCTCCGGGCGGGGGGCAGGCTGCGCAGAAGCAAAATGGCACAGCGGGCATGCTCCTTGATGGTGAGCTTGTTCCCATGTACAGGGTCCACACCGCTGAGGAAAGCCTTGACCTCCTGTGCCAGCTCTTGGGAACTGCCGGAGGAAGAAAACAAACCGCTGAGGCTCGCTTCGACAGAAGCTTTTTGTGGGATGGAAAACGATCACCACAGAGTGAATTCACTGTTATTTCCCCTCAGTCATGTGAGGGAAGAAAACACCTCATCATCTAATTGAGAATACACTTACATTTGTGTTACTTTAAACAAAGAATCACAGCTGCTAATATTCAGAATCCACTTTTGGTGCACTGTACAGGCCCTACTCGTTCCAATCAGGACTTATTAAATTAACCAAATGGAGAGCATCCAGATGCTTTTCTGTCCTAGTCATTTATTGCTTAACCTGTTTATTAAATTATCCTCAGACGACTGAAATGGAAGGAGATAGGGAGTCATTTTGCTCCTTCCCTCATAACTACAGAACCCAGCAGAAGTTATTCCACAAAGCTGATTGCTAGGAGAGCCAAATCAGAAAAAAGGAAGTACATCATCACACCGCATTTTCACTGTGTTGTATTTTGGCTGAATAAATTGTATTTGCATCTTTTATATGCTGCTGTGGAACATTAATTGGATGAAGGGCAACTTAGAATTTAAAAAATATATATTCCCACTCACTCCCAAAAGAAAACCCCTGAATGTATGGAACTGCACTGAGAGCCAATTTCAGAAGATAAGGAGGCTGGACAATTGCTGCTGCCTTAAGTCAGATGATAGAAAAAAGCTCTTGAGCCAAAACCCTGCAGAGTGACTTCCAGTTGGAACACACACACACACACACACACACACAGGGAGGGAGGGAGGGAGGGAGGGAAGGAGGGAGGGAGATCCCCAACCTACCACCCTCCAACTGGATTGGATTACAACTCTCTTCACCCGGGCAAAAGTGATTCTGCTAGCCGTGGATAATGTGAGCTATGCCTCTGGAGGTCACCAAGTTAGGGGGACACCCCCCCATCAGTAGGCCCTGATGGCATTTGCCTACATTTTTCTATCCTCTTTTGCTGTTGTCTCCCTCTATTTACTGATGAAATTCCGATTATGAACTCTACACCTGTTTCTTTGGCTGCATCATGAACACCTTTATCTTGGCCCACCTAGCCCAGAACTTCCTGCTCTAGCATCAGCTCGTCATCCTTTCGTCCGGAGAGGCAGCAGGCGGAATGCGACATTTCCTCACACCGCTGCCAACCTCTGCCATAGCGTGTCCTGTCCTCCATCAAGGAGTTTACTACAGAAAGTGCCATGTACACTAAGGCCAGTATCATCACTATAATCTAGACCTTCTTTTAAGACCACCTTGGCTGGTGGGCACCTTCTTATTCTCAACCTATAGACAATGCCAAGCACTGAGATACTCAGTAGGGCATTAAACAGATGGTTTCACAGCAGGAACAAGGAAAATACCTTCCTGCAGTGGGTTCTAGCCATGCAGCCCCACTTCTGTCTTCTTCCTTTCCTCTTGACATTTAGAATGTAAACTCCATGGGACAGAGACCTGCCTCCTTTTGTATTTTTGTCATTTTTCCATCGTTCTTAGCATACTGAAAGCCTTCTCTGGGCACCTGCCACCCACCATTGAAAAAAGCAATTGCACTGAGCTCCTCATTTTACTCTGTATGTATTCATTCAATTTCCGCACACACCACTCTTTTCCCCCTTACAACAATTCTATGACGTAGGCTAGCCTGAGAGAGGCTAATTGGCCCAAAGTTTCCCCCTGTAAGCATCATGGCCACGTGTGGACTTGAACCTGGGCTTCTCTCCTTTCTGGGCTGTCAGTATAATCTCTATAAACCAGCATACACAATAGCTAAGCCCAGACACACATAAATGAACCAACCCATTCTGTCCTACTGCTGTTTCGATGTTTAGATTGTAAGCTACTCGGAGCAGAGACCTACCCTCCTTTATGCTTCTCCAAAGCGCTATACTGATGTTAACCACGGCGCTACACTCATAAGGAGCGTTTGAAAAAGCAGCCTGAGCCAACGGCGATCACTGCAGCCCTGGGCTGCCAAGTCCCACAAACTGTGGGGCTTGGAGAGGCTCCAATCTAGGGCGGAAATCCCCCCACCCCCTACAAGCAGGCGGGCATCCAATACCTGAGCGGTGGAGGCGCGACTGTCGTTTTGGGGCTGGGGGCGGACCCGGGAGGCCCCGCCACCCCCGGGGCGTCACACAGAGCAGACATGCCGGCCCTGGAGAATAAATTAAGGGACCAGCCGGTGCCCTCTCGCTTTTCTTTCCCCCGCCCATCTACTGCGCCTGCGCACGGCGGCTCATGGGGAAGCATAAAGGCAGCGCACGAAGCGTGTCGCCTCCAAAAACGTCCCGGCTACTTCTCAGACCCCCGGCACTGACGTTCCGTTTTCTGTTTAAGTGCCTCGAAAAGCAAAATCAAATAATTATTTAAAAGAGCATGTATATGCATCACAGTGTCCTGTCTGAAGATCCCCTGAAGGTACAGAAGCAAGTCCCATTGAGCCAAGTGGGCTTTACACCCCCAAATAAAGGTGGGTTTGCAGCCCTCATAGCCATAAAGACTAGCCGACTTTGGTTTCTGTAAAATTCCCTCAGTATCCCCCTATCCCATGCTAGGGATTCCAGTCACCACCCATAATATATTTATATGGACCAGTTGCCGACAAAAAGTTATGACCACTGAATGTAAAGGCAATTGAGCCTTGTAATTCTTTAAACAGCATCAATTCTAGAAGCACCTCTCCATCCAAACACCACAAAGAGAAGGCAAACTAGAGATTCCTGCCCCAAAGAACCTCCAAGCTAAAGCAGAGGAAGATAATCAATCAATCGTGCTATACGATGCTGTTAATTATGCATTATTAGTTGCTGTTTTTGAATTAGTGATTGAGTACATAAAGACAGGTGCTAGTTTTATTTTTAAACTTCTATCCTGCCTTTTCCCCATAGGGCACCCCAGGGGCTTATATAATCTTTTTCCCTCCCTTTTTATCCTCAGAGCATGATGCCCCGTCCATACAATCAAATGTACAGAGACACAGATGGCAATGTTTACTTTGAAAGATTTTCACTTTGGCCCATGTGTTTCTGAGAAAGACGTGTGTCTCCAGAGTATGGTTTAAAACCAATACAAAATTTCCTCAGAACAGCAGCTGTTTTGAAAAGAGACTGTGTGAAAAGAGTTCAGCTCTGATGAGAAGTTGAAAAAGGGTATAGTGGGTTTAGCAACCCAGAGGAGTTTTGTTTTAATGCATTTGTTAAGCACTAACAGTTTTTTGTAAGCAATCAAAACCTCAAAATATTACACAGTACTCTTTTTTAGGTCCAATGTTTATAACCAAACTATACAGGGAGTACCTCCTTGCCAATTCTCCTAGATCTTTTGGCAATGTTCTGTACCATCATTCATACCAGCCTTTTGACTCATCTGGGACAAGCCTTGGAAGCAGTATTTTCTGCAGACTCCAGGCTTCCTTGGAGGAGCAACTCCAGAAAAAAGTACTGGGGGGACTCCAGGTCGTCCCTTTGACCTATGGAATACTGTCAAGTTCCACCCTACTATTCCATAGAAGGTACAGAAACTTCCGAACTGGTGCATGGCGTCCATTTACAAACTTAACAATACACTTAAATTAAATCTAGGCCAGGGACCAGTGCAGGTTAGATTGGGATCTGCTGATAGACCCTCAGGTGAATTAGGGAGTTCTCCTAGACTCAGGGTTGGCTTGAATGTTTCCAGGGCCACCCTGAGCAAGGGACTTTCTGGAAAAGGCTGATCTGTTTGGTGGCCCATGCCTTAAGATGTATCACAACCAGACTATTTCAATGCCTTCTGTACAGGGAGATATACATTGAATTGAGCTGCTCTTTGCATGCTTACCTTTCGAGTAGATGTACAAAGTTTGGCTGTGTTACACACTGGGTGGAAAAATGTCCTTTGGATGCTCTCCATTCACCTATAGGTGGAGTTCCCCACTGCTGCATTTGCAGGCACCCCCAAACTTCAAAGTACCTCCTTTTTAGCATATGCACATGGACTTGTGTATTATCCATAACTATGAATATATATGAAATGCACAGAACTTTCTGGCGATCTAGATTGCCACAAAAGTCAACCAAATCTTCAAATAAGTATCCATATTCAAGCATTGATAATTTCCTCAGGCCATTGCATTACAGGAGATGAGCATTTTATTCTTCCACTGCCATAACCTTCAGTCAAAAGTGCATGGAAAATCCATTTGCACTGATGATTTGTTATATGCCATAAGGCAGGTAAATAACTTTAAATGGCGTGTACTTCAGTGAATCCTGAAAGACTGTTCCGGTACAAGATCTATCTCCATAATAAAGTCCCCACAAAAAGAGGCAGCTACCGGATATTACCAAAACATTCATTTCAAGCAGCATTAGCTGTGTGGGACAATTGGCTGAATTAGGCAAACCCATACTAAAGAGACACTGAGGAGGCCAACAAATATGAACAAATTTTTTCCAGTCATACACAACCTAAGATCCACAGACACCAACAAGTAGATACCCAAAACAGCAATCTACCAATTAGAGATTTTGTGGTGATGCTCGTAGTTGTTTTTCAGCTTCCCAAATGGGTCCAAGCCACAACCAGAAAGGGAAATGGAAGCACTGGGAAAGCCTAATTTCCATCTTTTGCTTTCTCCACTCTGCTTTTGTCTCTCTAAATGAGAAGAAATTCCACGTTCCATATCATGTTCATTTTGCATCCAGAACCAAGCCCACTATCAACTCCCTTCCAGTATCCCAGACACACACTTTTCCCCTTCCAGAAACACATTTTCACCATAACACCACCAGGAAGAAAACGAAAACCAGTAGAGGGCAGAACGGACTCTTATCCTTTTATCGGACCAACAATGTTTGTTGTCTTAGATCTAGAAGCTTCTGAAGCTGGAACATGTAAAAAGCAGGAAGTCTTGACCCCGTGTGGATTTAGCACCAGATGTTTCCTTCCCCTTCAGCCGAGATTGGTGAGTGACATAGGAATACCACTCCCTGTGTTTCACAGAATCGAATGCATGAAATACACTCAATGGAAATCAGTGAAGCTTACTCCCAGGTTTCAGTGCACAGGATCATATCCTTCAATCATTAGTTGCTGTTCGTACATACGCTGGCACAACCCAGCTCTGTTTGTCAAGAGAAATACACAAGAGCTCAACCCGTCTGCAGTCTGTTTGACAAACCTCTCCCCTCTTTTGCATTTTTAACAGGAACTGAAGTCACATCTGAGTTTATGGAACTAAACTGCTTTGAAATCCAAGCCCTCAGGCTCCTCTGGTTTTGCAGCCTCAGTGTCCCATCCTGCCCCACAAGTCACATCCTGCCCCACAAGTGCAACAAGCTAGAGGAATGAACATGCACACGGCGCTTCCAGACTTCAGAGACACATCTCAGCTTTCTGCTCCAGGATCAGGCTCAACTTCTTCCATATCCACATCCGGGCAAGCTGTAGGCATTTCCTTCTTCTTTCCCTTTCTGCTCCGAGTGCTTTTACTTGGTCCCGGAGACGCATCGACTGCAATTTGAAAGCAGAGAAGAGAATTTAAAAACCACACTCCTCCCTTGTGTCTTGATGTGTGGGCTTTCCATGCTAGGATCAGCTTTCCTGCCCAATATACCCCCATTTCTCCAGAGAAAAAGAAGTAGTTGCCAGTCAAAGAAGAAATACAGGGATGGGCACGCCTGTGCGTTTAAGATTCCCCATGTTCATCCCAAAGCTGTGTGAAACGGTTTACACATTCAGCAATATCAAACAGATCCCTGTGGGGAAAGCTTTCAACAACTGGGATTTTTAATTGAGGCAACATGCAAAAGGATGCCTGGTGCAGAGGGAGACATTTTTCCTTTTTTCTTGGGATACTAGAACTCAAGAGCTCAGCTGGCTGTTGGTACCCCACCACTTGAGAAAAACAAAAAGGTATTCCCTGCATATAGAAATCTAACATGCCTAGGAGTAGAGGTTTTGTGGGGGTTTGTGCTGTGCATAGAGGGCCAGCTACTCAGTGATAGAACATACCAATATACAAACCACTGCTACGCCCTGCCAAAAAAATGCACAGAACTCCCTGCATGTAGAAATCTAGCACGTTCAGTTCCCCACCCCACACATGCGATAAAATCCAGCAAAACCACTCCACTTGGAAAAACTGGTACACACAGTGGCACACAGTCCTTCAAAAGTGTGGTATTGCCTTTAATAATGAATTGACAGATAGGAAGTGGAAGCCCAAGGAGGTAGGCAAAAGTCCCTTTCTTTAGGCCCAACCGGAGAGCACAAAGGTTACCCTGCATCTCTGTTTTCTCCTTAGTGGTGTGGCGGATTTGCTTCAACAGTTTCCTTTTCTTCTTCCCAGAGAGAGTAATGTTTGCCCGAGTGCTGGATCTGCAGCAGGAAGCCAAGGAGACGGTGTGCAAAAAAGAGGAGACATTGTAAAGTTGGTTCATTCATAGAATGCAGTTTTAAAAACCCAAGTCCTTCTCTGCTCCGAACAGCAGTGCAACTCTTTCCCAGACGCTGCTTGGCTTACACAAAATATCCTTTACACAAACTGTATGCCATTTGTATTGTGTTGTTGAAATCAACAGAAGCCATACAAAGCAGAACTCACGAGCGTTTCTTCAGGTGGTGAATGGTGATGAGTCCCTCATCTATCACTGCTCCCACAATTCGGTGTTTCTTCCGTTTCTGCTTGCTCAGAACACGGCGCCGTTTGAAAAGCTTTTTTTGCAGCTCCTAAAACAGAGAGAAGGAAGCCAGTTCCATTTGGCACAACAAAGACAACTCTCACTTGTTCGATTATTTTCCACAAAAGAAAAATGGGTGGGGTGGAGGAAATGCCTCTTATGCAAGTCCTAGCTATTATATAGCTAAATTAGAGCTGTAAGCAGTGTATCGTTCATTCATCCATTGCTATTTTTTAAAAACATTATCCTTAAACTGTTAAGTGGAATATAACACACTATTTTTGACAGAAGCTACTGTTTTATACTGAAACGTTTCACACATTTAAAATCTATATACACAAACATTTCAGAAAATATGCACATAATCCTTATTGTTAAAGCTATAAGATGCATACACTGCACGCATTCCTGGAGGTCATTCTACTTGCTTGTCTGGAATCCTCAAAAAGGAAATTATTTTTTACTGCATTTTAAAGTGTTCACCCGTAAAATCAAAACACTCTTGTTCTTTTACCGGCCTTTGCTTTCTTAACATTGTAAGCTGCTCCGTGCCCCTTTGGAGACAAGACATGGCAGGAAAACTTGTAATAATAATAGCAGTAATAAGACCTTTTTATTTGATCATTATTTTAAGAGTTAATGTTTTTAGACGTTTTCGGATTCCATTTTTCCCCTTTTTCACAGTCGCATTTTCTATAGTGATGTGTTTTATGTTTTAATAATTAATCTCTTATATAGTAGTTTTGAATTTATTGTATTTTTATATCTTGCAAGCCGTCCGATAGGGCGGGGTATAAATGTACGTAATAAATAATACATAAATAATAATAAATAAATAATAATAATACATTACCGTCTTCGGCCGGTTGATTTTCCCACTAGGAGCCCCCATGCTGGACTCACGTGGCCTCCGCAGCCCAGCTCTGTTTAACTTCCGGGTCGGAGGCACGTGACATTCCGCTCGCGGAACGGCCGGCCCCTTCCTGTCTGTAAATTCTCCTGCTGCGCTCCGATTGGCCGAAAGGAACCTGGCCAATCAGAGGCGCAGTTGTGCTCGGCCCCTCCCTATCGTTGTGAAATGAATCACGTGGTGGAGCCCGAGGCTATAAATAGAGGTTCTGGCGACACCCGCCCGTTCTTGCGGCTGTTGCTTCTGCAAAGGGAAGGTGAGGAATTTGGGAATTTTTTTAGAAGTCAGTGAGGTAGATGTTCCAAACTTACCGGGGTATGAGGGATCCATACTGATTCGTTGATATCCCGTAGAATAAAGCCCGATCGTAAATGAATTTAGTTATGGACAAAATCTGATAATAAAAAATTGCAGAAGCCACGTGGTGGTCTCATGGCGGCTATAAGGCTGGATCCTTTCGTGGAGAAGTAGACCTGTAAACGGAAACACCAGGATCGGTCCTTTTTCCTCGGCCCACGGAGCTGTGGAGGGTGACCTTGAGCCAGGCATTGTCTCAGCTCAGCCTACCTTATAGGGCTGTCGTAGCAAGATCCCCTTTGCAGGCTGAATAAAATGGAGATGGGTGACAAAAGCCCCCCTTCCCAGCTGGTTAAAATGCAGGAAGGTGATAAAGGTAGTGACTCTTGTCCAGATAGGGGAGCCTAAATCCAGTGACTGCCTCGCATCTTGACCAGCTTAAAGAAAGAAGTTTGGGTGGGGAGGGGAGGGAAGGGGTGGGGGCTTAAGAGGCTGCCAAGGTTTGCAAGCTTGCCGCTTCTGCACCATGCCTCCTCTTCTTGGCAGGCCCGGGTTTTGCGGTGCCCGGCTCTGTAATGTCCGGAGGTAAAGGAATGCCCACCCAGCGCTCTGTCTTCGGTGCCAGCAGCTTTGCCATCTGCTGGTTCTATCCTCAAACGCTGGGACAAAGAGCCGAATCGCAAAGCGGTGCTCTCCTTCAGGTGCCCCTGAATGACATTCTGGCTGGGGGTGGTGGGAGCGTAGTTCAGTGCCCCTTGTAAACCATAGGACTTGTCGAGAGGAGGTGCTTTCGAGTAAGGGAACGTCTTGACCATATTATATTGTCTCATGACTCTTCTCCACAGCATTTCTGAGCGGATTGAGAAGCACCTCAAGATTTTCAAGAGCTCTCCCCACAGAAGAATCTGGACGCTTCTGAGCATGGATTTGACACAAACCAGCATCTGGAATCAGCTTTGAGGCTGCGGAGGAGAACAACCTAAGAATGGCCTCCTCCCATCTCATCTCTTAGCTGACATATTAGCCAGGGGATGATGGGAGTTACAGCCCAACATGTTGGGCTGTATCAGCTTAGGAAAGGCCAGACTTGAGACTTTTCCAGTTTTCCTTTCCTGATCATACTATTTATTTTATTTATTTACATATATACTAGGGGGGTTGTGTTAAGTCAACAGATCTTTGCAAGATGATTATTTTTATTTTCTTTTGCAGCTATGTATTTCTCCCACTGTTAATTGTTTTAAATAAACTTTTATGAACTGAAACCTGTGGCTATTTTTTTGGTGGGGGGGGCAGGATACTGGTTCATGGATCTGTCCTGAAGTCGGTTTTGGAGCCTGCTACCTGCTTAAATAGGGCAGAGGAATTTATATCATTTGATGTATTTATTTGAAGTGTTTTTAACTATGATCTTTAGCCAAAAGGCCCTACAAAGATTAAATAAAGCAGAGGTCAGAAATAAACTGCACATGTTATGGACTTCAACTCCCAGCGTTCCTAAGCCTTTGGCCATGTTGGCCAGGGTTTGCAAGTCCCAAACCTTGGAGGTCTTCCCTCTGCTTGCCTTTGAGCCAACAGAAAGAGGCAGGGGGGAAAAAGCTAAAGAATGGTTGCCCTGATGAACTGAGACAAGTGGAACTCATAGCCTTCTGGAAATATGGTACGCAGGTCAAGTTTCGTCACATGCCCCTTCAAGGGAAATGTGTGCTTTGGGGAAACAAGGCTACCTTGGTCTTAGGAAATCAAGGGAGACGACTGGCTAGAGAATCTTGAGGACTGCTAACTTGAATTCTTAAAATGGCCTTGTAGGAGTAGTGTTTTTTAATACCCTTTTTAAGATGTGCCAGCGACTGGCTAGCACTGGTGGAAAGTCCCATCAGCCAACTGCTCTTGGTCTGGAGTTCTTTCTTTGGAAGGTTGGTACCCACTCCGGCATGGGGTGAAAAGTAGCTCCATTCGCCATGGGAAAGCTCCAAGCGTCCCGAAGCAGCAGGACAGAAATGGTAAGGACCAAAGGCTAAGAGTAGGGCAGGCAAAACTTCTCAGTTTGCAGATAAGAGAAGGAGATGCAGAAAAAAGTTGGATTTCCGCTAGCTCAGCTTCTGGGCCTGGAACCAGTCCTTTGAATTATCCCGCTTGAGAAAAGGCCAGGCTCCTTTTGAAAAAAGCTATTCCTGCTGGGTTTTAGGCAATCCTTGATGCTCAAGGGGGTGGGGGGGGGGGGGCTTTGGGCCAGCCCTGACTTAGTCTGACTGGCTTGTGCTGAGAATAAAGACCAAGGCGAGGAGAACCTAGTAAGCTGCCATGACTTCCTTGCAAGAGGGGGAACGAAGCAATGCAAAATCTTATTTTATACATTTGCTATTCCCAGAACTAAGTAATACTGGATTTCATCTTCCACAGCAAGCAAGAAAACATATCCTTGAAAGGACAAGGCTTGCTTTGAGCTCAGGAAAACAGCACGCTTTAAAATTTCCAGCCCTTATTTTAAAGCTGTCTCCCCTGGACGGGGCATTTTTATATATTTTTAAGGTGCTCAGAGCCCAACCTATCCATCTGGGCCAGGGACACATTTAATGCTCCAGTGAGAGCTTGAAGGATTAGAGTTGGCAACATTTTCAGACATCTAAGTTCACTAGGGAATAGTTTTCCAAGGAACCGGAGGCCAGTAAAGTATTGTGCAGTTGTGAGACGCAGCAAACCCATGAAGGACTCCGCATGGCTGGACTCAGAATAAGCTTCTGCCACAACACGTGCCTAAAATCGAATAAGGTCTTCTGATCTACAGGGCTGGATTTTTCCAGCAGGGGAAGCACGGGGGCCCCCTGCTGGCAGGCAAGGGATTAACCACGGCACTAGAGCATGAGGGGAAACTGGGCGGGTTTATGCAAATATTGCACCCCGCACGGCGGAGGAAAAGTTGCCTAGCTCGGTTAAAATGCCCATTTTTCCAAATGATTTGGCTTACCGCGAGAGGATCCGTCTGGACCTGGATCAGGGCGACGCTGCAGGAGGTCGCTGCGGGAATCGCCGCTCCGCTGCTCCTCCGGCGCTGCTCCGCGCCCCGCCACGTCTGGTTGCTCGCCATCCGCCCAAAGGCCATCGGAAAGCGGGTCCAGGGCGGCTCCGGCGCTGGTCGGCATCGCTTCTCGGCCTTTTGGCTAAGATCAAGTGTAGTATCTGTTCTTATCAGTTTAATATCTGATATGTCCTCTATTTGAGGACTACATATTAAATGGATTTTTGGCACTGGGAGATGGAATAGGGGCTTGCTCCATCCACTCCAAGCATCGACCTGGTATTGCAGTACCTCCAGGAACGGTGCACCTCCCCTCTGGGGAAATATCTCTGGTTCAAAGAGCAGAATTAAAATTTCCTTCTTTTTTTCTATCAACTTTTTTTTTCATTTTTCTATATTCATTCCTTGAATAAGCATTTGTGCTCACTTCTCTGTATTCATACTATAAATACATCTTTAATATTTCATTTCTCTATATTCGCTCCTCAAATATGCATTCAATGTGTTCATTTCTCTATCTTCATACTACAAATACATCTTTAATATTTCATTTCTCTATATTCACTTCTCAAATATACATTCAATGTGTTCATTTCTCTATCTTCATACTACAAATACATCTTTAATATTTCATTTCTCTATATTTGCTCCTCAAATATACACTTAATGTGTTCATTTCTCTATATTCATACTACAAATACATATTTAATGTGCTCATTTATATAGGTAAAATACTATATTCTACTCCGAAGGCAATCTCTTTTTCTATCTATCCTTTTATTTACCACATACAGGGTGTCCCCAAAAAATGACTTTATTTGCAATGTGACTATCTGAGTAACTGCATGTCCTATGCAAGCCAAATTAAATAGGCTTCATGTTGAACAGTCAAAGATTTATCTATCAAAATTCGAACGAGAGATTCCAAGGGATGTTGCGGGTTTGATAACTGATCTCACAAAGCTTCACAAATGTTCAATTTGCGCACCGCCTGTGACATGACACGCGTCAAGTCGGGCGTCCACCTCCTGCCAAACACGCCGTAGCATGTCTTGCATAACGTTGCATAACTGACTTTAGTTGATTTTACACATTTTGTTAAAATTTGAGATCATTTGAGCGAGAATTGGCTATGTTATTAGACCACGAAACCATGTCAATATTTTGGGACACTCCATACTTTGATCTTATTCCCCCAAACCTCTTGCTCAATAGAGATTAATACTTTAATATCCAGGCTTTCCCAAAGAAATAGACCTGGTCTGGCTTCCCTTTTTGGATTTCCAAACTAGTCAGAATTCTTAAAAGTTTAGGTTAAAATGCAGCTTTTTTTCTTCTTTTAGCTTTGTGGAGCTTGGCCTGTAAGCACTACGCTGCTCAAGCTTTTTCTTACTACCCCTTAGCTGCTACATTTCTGCATGCAGGGCTGCTGTGCAAGGCACAGACCCAAAACGGAAGGGGGCAGCTTTAATTCAGAGGGTGGCAGACAAGGGGCTCATTTCTGCTATTTCCTTCATCTTTTGGTGTCCTCTGTCCATAATTCAAGATAACTTACAGTGAATGGCCCAGTGGAGCACAGTTTTTGGCTAATGAGCAGAAAAGCATTGGGACCCCAAGGCGAAGATGTCCTGCGACTTCTGCTCTCCATCCTTCAAAATCCGGATCCATAAACTAGCTTTGCAGGGGGGAAAAACCTTTAGCTGCTACTTTTCTGCATGCAGAGCTACCTAAGGAGAGAGAGAGAAAACATATATCCCTTTGATGCTTTTGCCTTAATTCAGACTGAATACTTGTCTCACTTGAGAGGGAGACCAGGAAGGCCTTCTCTTGCATAGCTTTGTGGGAGAGGAGATTTTGGAGGCAGAATAGTAGTAGAGCTGGAAGGGGCCTGTAAGGCCATCTAGTCCAGCTTCCTGCTCCGCTTTCTTTCGCACATGATCTCTCTGAAGGTGACACCAGAAGGCCCCAGCCACTGAAAAACCTACCGGTGCGACGTGGGATAAAGGCAGGAACGCTTTCTGTGTTTCTTTTTATTTGGAACACTGAGGCCTAGAATCTTAGGATGCATGCAACTCAGAAGCACTCCCCAAGAAAGACCTCACGCAGTTGTGCCATTTAGTCTCCCTTAACTGACTTTCCTTCAGAAAGGGAAGAGAGAAGCCGAAGAAAGGGCAGCAGGAAAATACGGGAGGGCCACACGGGGAAAGCAACCCCCTGCGGGTCCTCCCTGGGAAAGTCCAAGCTGACGTCCCAATAAAACTGCACCCGGCCAAGGATTTCCTGGAATTCCCGGGGCAGAGCCCTGCTTCGCCTCCAGGAAGGGGGACCAACCCGCACCTCCGAAAAGCGACCCCCAGACACACACCATAAGCCCGGGCAGGATAGGAGCGCGCGCCAGCCGGGCGCAAAACCATGAGGACTAGCCTCGCTTCCTTAAGACGCGCTGCCCCGCCCGGAGTCTTAGCCCCGCCCGCCCCTTCCCTCCCACCCGCTCGAAGATGGCGATGGCGGCGGCGGCGGCGGCGGGAGCGGCGATCGTCAGGGGGCGCAAGGGCCCCCCGCGGTTTTGGGGCGCCCCGGGGCGCTCCTGGCAGCCCTTGGCCGCCGCCTTTTCCTCCCGGCCTGGCGGAGCCCCCGGGGGCTCGGGGCCCCCTCCGATCCAAGCTGCACCCCTCGCAGGTAGCGGATGGGGAAGATGGGTCCCCCGGCAAGCGATCCCATTCTGGGTGGCTGCAGCCCGGCAGCCTCCCCAAAGCCCCGCCGTCCCCAAAACCGCAGGCGAAGACGGCGAGGACTAGTTCCTTGGCCCGGATCAAGCCCGCGGCTGAGCTTTGGGGTTCTGTTTGGGGGTGTCCGTGGCGAGCACCCGCCATGGCATGCGTTATTTTACTTAATTTATTATCTATCCCATTTCTGGACCACCCGTAGCTGAAGCTTTCCGGGCAGTTCACAACAGGATATATATAAAAGAATAATACAGTACATAGAACATTTACAATTAATTAAAATAGCATTAAAGGCATTAAGCACACATTAAAATACAATATTATTGGCATTAAAAGCTCAGTGCAGCGCCACCGAAAAGGACTCTCCTAGCTCCTTCGGGGGACCTACTTTGTTCTCCCGGGGAGCAAGCTATGAAAACAATAAATTTAAGCGGAAGGAAGAAACCCAAGGGATTTTTTAAGGGGTGCAGTGCCCCCAACCTAAGACGGTCGAAGTACAAGCCAGCCTCGGGAGCACCCAAACAAGTCATTCGGGAGGACGGAGATGGGCTTTCGAAATGCGGGGAAATCGAGGTCTTGGGGAGAAGCAGAAATTAGTTCCGGATCTCGCTGCTGATGGCTGGAAAGGAGGAATGTGGGAGAAAAGGGGAGCACAGCCAACCTGCCTTTCCACTGCTTTAGTTCTGTCTGGCACTGCCAAGGAAGCGTCTTGTACCCCCTTCTGTGGGATTTTAATGGGGTAGCCGTTTGGCAAGCGCTTCGCTCAGAGCCATCCCTTCCCATCTCTGTCCAGAAGGCAATTTTTTTACTCTAGAGTAGATGGAGGGACCCCAATCTACCGTTAGGACCTCTGCCACCCCCTCATCCTCGGATGCTGATCTGAAGCGCCTACGCCCAGATTTTAAAAATGGGGGGGGGAGGACATAATTACTGGAAGTGTTTTTTAAAAATGGGTTTTGGTCCCGACGCCCATGTAAATAGGATTGTGGCCCTAATCCGTTTATAAAAGGGCTGCTTTTAATTATTTTTCTTCCACATTCTGCGTATTTAAAAAGGAGTTTGGAGTGTTATTTATATTTATGATTGGACCTATATCCCACTTTTTTCTTCTTTAAAGAACACAAAGTGGCTTAGCTCATTCTCCTGCTCCTGCTCTCCGTGCCCACAACAACCCCCCTGCGAGGAAGGCCGGGCTGAGAATCTGTGACTGATCCCAAGTCACCCAGTTGGGTGCACTGGACACAGCCTGTTCGAGGCTGCGCACTGTAAAATCGGCAACAGAAGCCTGACACAAACACAACGCGGCTGAAGCATTTCCCGCCCTGACCTCCCCTGGGAAATCGCACTAGCTGCTACCTTTCTGCATGCAGGGATGCTGGGTTATGGGCAAAGGTGGCAGGAGGGAGCAAGGGGCAGCGAGCGCACCTGCTCCGTCCGTGATGCCCCTCTGTCCCTGGACGTGCACGTGGTGGGCATGCCGTGAGCGGAGCCGGCTGGTGCCAGGGGTCAGACTAGATGGCCCGAGAGGCCCCTTCCGACTCGCTCTGTTTCTGTGTCCCCCCAGACAACCTGCTCTGCCAGATGGACCAGCGGGACACCTGGGACCGCTTCTACGCCGCCAAGGGAGACGGGGCGGCCGGGCCCCGCCATTTCGAGTGGTTCTTCGGCTACCGAGAGATCGCCGGGCTCTTGCTGACTCACCTCCAGGGCCTGCCCCCCGGCCCGGCCCGGGTGCTGGACGTCGGCTGCGGCACCTCCGGCTTGGGCCTGGGGCTGCTCCGCGACTGCCCCCGCCGGCTGCGCGTCTCGTGCCTGGACTTCTCGCCGCCGGCCGTCGCCACGCTGCGGCGGCTCCTGCGGGAGAGCCCCCCGCCCCGGCACCCCCTCTCCCGGCTGCGGTGCCACGTGGCCGACGCCACCCGCCTGGCGGGCGCCTTCCCCCCGCGGTCCTTCCACCTGGTCCTGGACAAGGGGACCTGCGACGCGCTGCTGCGCGGCCCCCGGGGGCCGGGCCGGGCCGGGGGCCTGGTGGCGGCCTGCCTGGCCCTGCTGAGGCCCGAAGGCCGCCTGCTGCAGTTCTCCGACGAGGACCCGGACGCCCGGGCGCCCTTCCTGGAGCGGGCGGGGGGGGTGCCCGTCGCCGTGCAGGAGGTGGGCTGCTTCGGCGGCATCCGGTACTACGCCTACATCCTCGGCCCGCGAGCCCCGGACCCGCCGGCCGTTTGTGGGGCCGACGGGTAGAAGAGGGGTGCGGAACGGAGCCGCACTCGGATGCCGCCCAGACGTGCTGGACCGCCCCCCATCACCCCCAGTCGGTGTCCCCGCTTCTCCCTCCAGCACCCCTGAAAGAGTGGGGCAGGGACAAGCTAGAGGATGGCTCCTGTGCCCGTAACTCGCCGGGAAGGCCGGCTTAAGCGGGGCCCGGCTAGGGGAAGGCCGGTGGGGTGGCGTCACCGGGGCAGAGGAGGACCACGCGGCCCCAGAGGGGCAGATGCCGCGGTGAGATCCACACGCAGCTCCTGCCGCCGGGTAAATGCTGCCAAAATTCCCCAAGAAGGGGCAGGGGAAAGCGGCTTTTGTGCCAGGGAAATGGCTGTGCCGGTTAAATTCACAGCTCGTCTTGTCGCCGGACGGACTTGCACCGGTCGTGAGGAGGACCGAGAGCCCTGGGAGCCGGGAAAAAGTTGGCATGAGGGTAGCCATGGCGGGCACCTCTCGGGGACCCCCTGCCCAGAACTGTGCCCCCTTCCATATTTAAATCTGCCCGTTCACCTCCGGACGCGACGGTGGAGCCGAGCGCCTGCCCGCTGCCCGTTTGCTCCTGGCTCTCCGATGGCCGAGAAAGCAAAGCAGGGCTGCGATGAGACAGAGGAACAACAAAGGCAAATGCATCACCACGCTTAAATGAACTCTCCGGGGAGCAGGTTTTCTTGACCCCCCCCCCAAAACCTGCACCCTGCTTTGTCACGGAGCTTGTGCCCCAGCTAGAGTAAACTCTATCCTACACCTCTTCTGGCTTGGTGGCGCGTTTGTGATCTCTTCACAGTCTTAAGGACTAGAAACTTGTTTTGGTGTTATTTCTCATGGAAGCTTAAGTGCCCGTCACACTGCAGTGTACCCATGCGCATGCACCCAAGCGTGAAGCCGTGCCACCGAAAGAAATAGTACGCCACCAAAGGAGCCGTCTCCCCGCAGAAGAATCACATTGGGTGCACAGTGAAAGCTTTTTATTCCTGAGTTGTGGACAAGGTTTTGTGAACGCCGAGCTAATATTCTGCTAAAAAATAGGTGCCATTTAGCGTGACTGTCTTCCAAATATAAACGCAGTAGAATATAAGTTGCCCAGCTCACTTTTAGCCCCTGAACACTGTTTCCAATGGGGGACAGCCCACAAAAAGCAGAGTCCCTCACACCCACCAGCACCCCCCTTCAGTACCTGGTACTCACAGATATCTTCCTTCTAGAAATTCCATTTTTGCTGTCCCGGCTGATTTCTACACACACATTTGAAACACAAGATTACCTCTGGCCTACTGACCTTCACAGGAATTCTCCGCTAGAAGGAAAAAGTAACCCCATTCAGTCAATGAATAACTTTACACAGGGGTGGAGAAACTTCACTCCTCTGAACATGGACTCCAACTCCCATTGTTCTCATCTGTGGTGGCTGGAGCTGATGGGAGCTGGAGTCCAACAACATGGATTCCTTCACTCCTGTTTTGTACTATGCTTATCAATATACATGGTGTGTTTTGATGGGTAATGATAAACCCAGAGGGCAAATTCTGTCTGCTCAAAGAATCTTACCATGTTAAGGGGGAAGGTAACAGGTGAAGGAAGGAAAGGTAAGATCTTGTTTCTGCAAAGACGGAAAGGATGTGAATTTATAAAGGATTATGTTGACGGAAAGAGAAAATCCAAAATCCATATTTGTGCTGCACTTTAGGTCAACCACAAGATGGCTAGAATGGTGCACGCTTTCAAGATTCTTTCATTACCCAAGACGTTATCTTTCCCGATGAAGAGACCTGTAGATCTCTGAAACTTGCACGGTTTCTGCCATCTTTTGATGGACCATTCAGTCGTTCAGCAACTATTAATCTGATTGCAGAGACGAAGGAGTTCAACCAAAGGGTTGTTTCCCTGACTCAGAGAAAGAAGAGTTGCTACCCCCTGTAGGGTCTGGAGCCCCTTGGAGTGCCTGCCTGGCAGGGTTGTTGTTATTACCACCACACAAACTCATTGAAGCAGACAAATGCTGTTGTCCGGACACTGTCTCGTTCTTCTGGGTTGAAAACTCAAAAAGAAGATGCCAAATTAGCTTGCTTTGTGCACGAGACTGGGAGGGCCATCTCTCCCAGGAAAAAAATATATGCCATGAGGGGTCTCACAGGAGCAGCTCCTCCACGTCGCTTTCGAAAGACGACAGTCCTGGAAAGAGAGAGAGAGCGCAGAAGACCGTCACGGAGCGAAGGGTGATCCTGACGTGGCCTACAGGATGCGAAGGACTCCGGCTGCTTCTGCTAGGGCCCTCTTTGGGTTGGCGGGGGCCTTGGGAACGGGTGTCGTGGGCACTCACAAAATGGCTGACCACCACGGCAGGATAGGGCTTGCCTATTCTCAAAGGATGGGCATGTAGCCAGTCAGAAAACACACATTTTCACAACACGTTTCCCCAAAGGCAAGTGGTGGGGCTGGCAGAAAGTGTCCCCAAATCTGGGTGCCAAGCAGAGGCGGGGAGCCCTAAAACCACACTTTGGACCCCAAATAAAGGAGGTGCCAGGGTACCCTCTTATTCTGCAGTCTATCATAACTTTCAAAATAAAATAGGAATCAGATGTGGGAGGCATGGAGAGCACTAGGAAAGGTATCCATGCACTGGGGTGCCATATTGGATACTGCACTTCTGGGGGGCACCCCTATTTCATGGAAGAACCTGGCCATGAGGCCCCGAAAGCACCATACGCTTGATAAATCCCTGGTAACGGCCAACCTTTTCCCCCTAATGTTTGCCTGCTGTTCATTGTTTCTTTTACTGATCTATAAAAACATTTTAGAGACTTTTTATTTTTGGAAGGAGGGGAAGAATAAGAGACCAGTTTGGGGGGGGGGGGGAGACAAAGGTACCACTGTCTGCAAAAAAAGGTGGGCCAGAACTAGCCATGGCTGGCAAGCAGCTTTCCTGAATAGCCAAAGCCATCGGGATCCCAAAAAGCATTCAAGGGGAAGAGCAGGCCAACATCCCATGGGATAGATGGCATCGGGACTTTCCATTTATTTATTTAAAGTTTTTCTACACTGCCCAATCCTCAAGTCTCTGGACGGCTTCCAAAGAACAAAAAGAACCAGAGCAAGCCATACCACCACCACTCAACACACTGCTTCTGATAAATGATGATAAAATCAAAGATAAAAACCAATGAACTGTTCAAATATTGGGAAATTAAACAGGTCTTCACCTGACACCGAAAAGAGGAGAGCAACGTGCCAGGCGAACCTCTCTGGGGAGCGTGTTCTGCAGCCGGGGTGCCACCACCAAACTGGCCCTGCTCCGGGTAGCTACCCTCCCGATCTCCTTCAAGGAGGGCTCCCGGAGACGGGCCTCTGCCTCAGATCTCAAGGGGCGGGCTGGCACGTAGGGAGATGTGCCAGTATGGCTACCTGTCGTGCCTTCTCGATCCCGGGATGAATTTTCCCGGGGCTCCCGGTTCCTTGACACACGTTCTGAAAGCCGCTGCCCTCGGCTGCAAAGCGGGGGGTGTCAGACCATTTACATTCGAAGAGCCAAATTCCATTTGGAAGAAATTAGAAACATACACACGGACACAGAGCGAGTTTGGGGCTGCGTTCTCACGCCCGGCACGAGGCCCCAGGGCCCGGCGGAAGGGGGCCGAACACCCTTGGCGCCTGTAGCGACGTGTTAGGAGAGACGGCTTAGAACGGGAGGAGAGCGTGCGAGGGGGGAGCCCCCAGATGAGTGGCCTGCGGGGGGAACCGCAGAGGGGCGTGTGTGGACTGCATTCTCGGCACAAAGGGTCGGCCCCCCGCGCCCACCTGCCGGTCTCCTGGCCTCCTCGCCCTCCGCGAAGAGCTCGTCCCGCTCGGCTTCCTCGAGCAGCGAGAAGTCGGCCGGGGGCCACCGCAGCTCGCCGCTCTCCACGTCGCCCCCCTCGCTGGGTTCCACCACGATCGAGGGCAGCCGGGCCTTCCCGGGCCAGGGCTCCCCGCAGGGATCCTCCTCGAAGAGCCGCTGTGTGGGCACCTTCCGGATGTCCGTGCAGAGCTCCTCGCAGAGGGAGCCTCGGCACCGGCCCCTGCACGGGGCGCCCGGGGGCTCCGGGGAACTCATCTCCTCGCACGGCGGCTCGGGCGGCATGTCCTCGGGCGACTCGCCGGGGAGGTCCTCGCAGCCGTCCGTGGGCTGGCTCCCGCAGAGATCTGCCCGCAGGCCGTGGGGCAAGGCGAGGAAGAGCTGGGGACGGAAGCACGGAGGGTCAGCCTACGGAGCAGCGGGTGCCTGCTCCCTTGCAGCGAGATGGGCTTCCGCCCGACCCCCAGCGCTGGGCATGGGAGTTCAATCCCCGGAGGGGTGCACCTGGCACCGAGGCTATATTCTTTTCAGCGCCAGGTTAAAACCTTCATATTTAAGTGCTATTTTAAAAACTACTATTTCATCGTTGAACAGCTGCTGTCTTTGTTTTCTGTCTTTATGTAGTCTTTTATTGAATTTGTTACTTAGATCATTTTATCATATTTTAAGTGTATGTACTGTGATCTGTCCTGGGATGCCAAGGCATGTGGTGATGGCATACAACAGTTTTAAAAGAATAAATAAAGCAGGGACCAGCAGCTCAGCTCCTGCAAAGCTCACCTTGCCTGCTCTGGTCTCCTATGCCAGGCTTAATGGGAAAGCACCAGCAGGTGTGTTTCCAAAGAGATGGGCTTCAACCCAAGCCCCAGTGCTGGGCAGGGGAGTTCAGCAGGGACCAGCCGCTCAGCTCCTGCAAAGCTCACCTTGCCTGCTCTGGTCTCCTGTGCCAGGTTGAAGGGAAACACCGGCAAGCGTTGACAGGTAAGGGAACGGGTAAAGGAGAACCTCAAGCTGTATTTAAACATGAATGGAGACCGCTTTTTGAGGGGGCCAGCTTCACCTGGTTATTCAGAGAAGGCGCTTGGAGCGGGCTGTCCTCCCGGGCAGAGGCCCACTGCATCTCTTGATCGGTGTTCAAAGCTGCCTCGTCTCTCATGGCTGGATCCAAAGTCCCCGCTGGCACCTGGCACGAAACGCACGCCTCCGCAGGCGCCTCGGGACCTCCGCAGCCCCTCGCCGTTTCAGTCATGACGGCATCTACGAGGAGGCAGGGACCAGTCCGAGCCCCCAGGCCGGGCGAGGAGCACGGGGGCAGGGCAACGAGAAGCCTGAACAAGGAGTGAGGAAGCCGACTTCATAAGCAAGCATCTCTATTCGTCACCGCAAACGCCAGTGGTCATCGATCACCGTAAGGGCAAATTGTAATCGATAGGCATTGCGATTAATTGATCACAAATACCAAGGCCAACGTGAGATCCATCCAGTGCTGAATTTTTCAGGCACTATAACATGGGGCCACCCAAGGCAGATGTGGGCAAGCTCGTAGGTGTGGTCTTGGGTCTGGTGTCCGCAACCCCTGGCCTTGTTGGCTGGAGCAGATGGGTTCTGGAGTCTGACATCCGAGAGCTGGTGTGGCGCAGGGGTTTGAGTTCTGGTCTGGCCCTGGAAGACCCAAATCCTAGTCCCTGCTCAGCCCCAAAGCTCACAGTTGACTTGGCCCAATCACTGACTTGGAGCTTAACCTACCTTGCAGGGTTGTTGTGTGGATGGCATGGGGGATGAGGCTCATATGAGCTGCTTTGGGCTCTTTGGAGAAAGACATGCCCCATTACTCAGTGCCGGCCACAAGCCAAGGGCCAGCAGCTTGAAGACGATTAGGGTCAAGCGCTCTGACCCAAGAGCTAACAGATGCTGGACCGCTCTAAATCCCACAGCCAGATAATCCTAAGGAAAACCAGGATCCTTGGTCCCCCCTCAGCCCATCTTGTACGTGGTTCTTGCAGGAATCTCCCCATTCTAACAAGTGCCAGTTGCTGGCCTTTCCTAACAGTCAAGCTGATGGGTCAGGGCAAAGATGCCCCCTGAAATATGTCGGACCCTGAACGGCCAACCGCTTAGACATAAAAGGGAAAGTGAGAACACTGCTTCGTGTTCCTGAAGAATCTGGCTGAGCCAGGCCAGCGACACAGCTCCCCACGTTTTTGAAGCCCAGTATGTCAGACCCAGAGTGGAGATGGCAGCTTTGGACATGTTGTGGGCCCCATAGCGGATGCCCTTTCATGCCGACCCGGATTCCCAGGCGTTTTCCGTGCTGCAGAATTTGAGATCTGGAGGAGAAAGCTCACCTCCAGCAGCTCACCTGGAAAGCAGCTGGAGGGCGATTCACCTCCCTAAATTTAGCACCACCTCTCTCTCTTTCTCTCTCATACACACGCCCCTTTCTCACCTGCTCCAGCTCCTGGATCCTCTAAGTCTCCGCTCCCACCTTGGTGCAACGGCAGGCGAAGGGCCTCTCCGCCCTGCCACGTAGTTTGCGCACTCGCCCAGGCTGGGCAAACAGCTCACAGCATCCAGGGGGCCAGGGGAGGCGGAGGAGAAGCAAAGCCCTGGGGAGGTTAGCTCAGGACAGGTGAGCAGCCTTCCAGGAGGCGGCTATTAATCACTTTCTGAGCTCATGGAAACAGCTAATGAGCTCAGGGCGAGAGAAGGCGATTGCAGCAGGCCTGGCACGGAGGCAGGGGCCGGCCGGCCTGGCTAAATGGACACGGGGGCTGCCATCCGCGGGCTCATCCGCAGGACCACATTCACATCAGGGTATGGTCGGGTTGCCAACTGGCCACGGACACACAGCCTGGCCCGCTCAGGTGCTTTTGACAGCCTGTGACTGCTTGAAAGCCACCCAGACAGAAAAACTAGGTAATATTGGGGGGTTTTTTTCCCCTTCTCACAATTCCTGTGAAAAATGCAGGAATTCAATCCCCTCCCCCCAGTTTTTGGACATTTAACAGTGTAAGTTAATATCCCCACATCTAATCGAAGGAAGACAAGAATCTCACCCAGGCAGGGTAGTTTGAAAGCTGATTTCCCTGACACCCGAGATTTTTTTTTTTCTTTTCTTGCTTGCTAGGCTAGAAAACGAAACTAGCCTCCTTCCCACTGCGTTATAATACGGATAGTGGACTACATTGTAGGGCTGTTGTAATCTTCCAACTCCCTCCCCCCCCCCGTCCATAGGAGAGAATGGGCTGTATGTGTATTGACATCGGCTCTAACCCCAACAGAGCATTTTTGAAAATATGTTTCAAACGTCACTTTCTACTGGAAATCAGCCGCCGTTTTCGATAGGAAAACGCCTCTGCAAAGAACACGAGAAAAGCGGAGTCGGGACAGCGCGGCACGATCGGCTTTGCCCCGTCTATCCTTTCCTAGCTCTACGCTTCGGCTGGGACGCTCTGGCCGCGCGCACCGCCCCGTCTCCGTGGTGGTGGTGGTGGCGGCGCCGCTCGTGCCCGCGCTCGGTCCAGGTCGCGGTCCGCGGCGCGCGAGGGGGGCGCCGTTCCCATGGCGACGCTGTACCGCGGGCTGCTGGGGGCCGCGGGCATGGCCGGCTGCATCGGGCTGGGGGTCGCGCTGTGGGCCGCGGCGGCGCCGGACGAGGCGCGCCTGAAGGAGATGACCAAGGTGGGCGGAGGGCCGAGCCGCTCGCAGCTCCCATCATCCCCACCCCGCGCAGCCGGCGGGGAAGGGCGGGCGCTGCAGCCCCTGCCACGCCGGGGAGCCTCCAGTGCCCGCCCGCCCCAGGCGTTGAGGGCAGCCCCGTTTCCCCGAGGGAGCCCCCCAGGTCGCAGCGCGCTAGCCCAGCATGTCAGAGCCACCCCCCCGCCCCCGAATCCGGCCAGGGGTCGGCCGAGCCCAGCCCTTTGCTCCCACAGCAAGGCGGGAAACCTACGGGTGGCACTCACCTGCCCATGCTCCCCAGTAACTGGTGTGCACAGGTGCCTGGCTCTAACAGCAGAAGTGGCATATGCTCATGGGGACTAGCAACCATCAACAGCTTTCTGTCTTGACAGGTGTAGAAAAGCATTGAAAGCAGACCTCCCCGCTGCACTGAAGCCCCGAGTGTGACATACCTGCTTCCTTAAATCCACCCAGCTACACCATTTCCCCCTGCCTTTTTCTGGTTCCCCTTCCAATTGCTTATTTTCTCCTTTCAGAACTACCCTGAAGCCAACGTTCAAGTCTATGAAGAGCGGCAACAGCAGAACGCTTTGGTGATGGAAATACTTAAAGAAGCTGCGGAGACGGATGAAAACGTGGCTAGTAGAAAATGGCCGTGGAGAAAGTAACAAAGAGCTCAGTGAACCTTTGGATTGGCTCAGGAATGAACCAAATAGGAAACCAAATACAGCGTTTGGGCAGACACTGTACTACTATTAGGCAGTACTATAGGGGAATTTACTGTGTCTGTGAGAGAGAGATCTCTCGGTTTTTTGTTGAGCCCATGGGCTTCCTAGCTGCAATGTCTAGCATGCATTTGTTTCAACAGTAAGCAACATGGAGGTTTGTCTGTACTTACTCAAAGCCCGGAGTGGCATCTACACTGCTGTATACTAAAGAAATATTTGTCCTTACAAAGAACAAGGTGTGTGTATGTGGGTCTGAGCAAAGATGCCAAGGAGGGTGCAACAGTGAAAAATGCCCTCTTAGGGCTTCCCACTGGGGTATTTGGCTTGGCAATTCTGGGAACTAGATATCGGTCCTCGGGGGTGGTGCTTTTGCTTTTTTAGTGGCAGGGTCCAGGGAAGGGACATGGGCAACCAGAGACAAGACAGAGGCGCCAGGGCAACAGAATCCAACTTTCCACAGCAAGGTTTCAGGGCAAGCAAGTCACAATCACAGAGCAGGCCAGGCACAGGAAGCAGAAGGATGTATCAGGGCAGAAAAAAAGGCGGCTGTGAACAAGTCTGAGACAAAGAGGTGTGGGTACCTGAAGGCAGGATAACTGGGCAGGAGACAGGATGCACAGGAACCGGACAAGCCGAGCTGCACCACCGCCAGCAAGAAGACCCATGTTGCTGAGGCAATAAGGCAAGGCAGATCCAGGAGGAGCAAACAGAGTGGAGGGCAGAGCTTGCTTCTACAGAGCTTCTCCCAGGATCCCCAGCTGGTGCTCATCAAGGGCTGAGTGCTCCAGCAGGGCCTGGGACTGATCCTGCAAATACTAGCCTGGGTTTCTGGTTCTCACTGCTCCATGAAACCACAAAGCATTCAGGTCCATGCATGTCCGAACATGCATGGACCTACAGCCTATGGCTCTGTTCAGCTTCTCCAATACACTGAGAGCATATTTTCTGCACTGTAACATCACTGGCAGATTCCAATCTGCTCTGGGGAAGGTTACTGGATTGCTGAATTGTTTAAGTTTCCTTGTTCCGCCTTGTAAATGTTCGTGGATTCTCTGGAAATGCTGTGTGTATTCCTCTGTAAAGTCTTGTGTTGTGAACTGGTTCGGCATATAAAAGCAGTACAAAAACAACCTTTGGAGAGTATGGTAGTTGAGATCCAGGATTTCAATAGTGTTGGCAACAGTGTTGTAAAAATAAAAATCAGAGGAACAAAAGCCAGACATAACAGGGTTTGAAAATGACTGTGAAAATAGTTTTCCGAGCCGCGGATGTTCTAAAGAAGGCGAATGCAGTCCTTCAGGGGAGGTTGAACTGCAGCTTCCTAATTTGCCCCCACTGATTCTGCTGGCTGGGCCTGATGGGCCTTGAAGGCCACAAGTCCCTGGCATCTGAGCTATGGCATGGAATATTCTTTCATTCATTCATTCAAAACATTTCTATGCCGCCCCATCGCAATAAGCCTCGGGGCGGCTCACAACATCAAAAAAAGTTAACCATACATTAAAACCCCAATACAATAAAACCCCAGTACCATAAAACCTCAATAAAACCTCAGTGCATTCTTGGCTAAAAAAAAAAACCTAGTTATAATAATAATAACAATAACAACAACAACATTTCTATGCCGCCCCTTGCCGAAACCTCGGGGCAGCTTACAACACAATAAAATACAATGAAATACAATGGCACATAATAAATTACCATTAATTACAAAATAGTTAAATAAGTAAATTAAAGGAGAACACTTTTAAAAGAAAATATATTCATGCTTTGATCAATAAATAGGTTAACAGGGAAGTTCAATTGTTTTCAGCAATTTCCCAACTGTAAGTTCCATAGCATGAGGGAGGTGAAGTGGTTGTCCCATCAACTGGCACTTTCAAGGCCCTGGAACCCGGGGAGAGGTGGGCAAGAAGTGGGGCAGATTTTCAATGAAAGCATATAAATTGAAAGAAGAGGATTTGGGCAACCAGCAACAGAATCCAACTTTCCACAGCAAGGTTTCAGGGCAAGCAAGTCACAATCACAGAGCAGGCCAGGCACAGGAAGCAGAAGGATGTATCAGGGCAGAAAAAAGGCGGCTGTGAACAAGTCTGAGACAAAGAGGTGTGGGTACCTGAAGGCAGGATAACTGGGCAGGAGACAGGATGCACAGGAACCGGACAAGCCGAGCTGCACCACCGCCAGCAAGAAGACCCATGTTGCTAAGGCAATGAGGCAAGGCAGATCCAGGAGGAGCAAACAGAGTGGAGGGCAGAGCTTGCTCCTATATAGCGTCTCCCAGGATCCCCAGCTGGTGCTCATCAAGGGCTGAGTGCTCCAGCAGGGCCTGGGACTGATCCTGCAAATACTAGCCTGGGTTGCTGGTTCTCACTGCTCCGTGAAACCCCAAAGTATTTAGCATTCAGGGCCTGAGGTAGCTCAGGCTATGCTTTGAGCGATTGCTCAGTCTTTCCTGCATGCTCTACCTTCCATTCCTGTTTTCTCCTTCTCTGCCTCATGTAAAATTTTAAACTGCAGCCTTTTAAGAACAGGAGCTCTGATTTAGTTCCGCGGAGTTGCCCCTGCTGCTCCCAAGACATAAAGAATTGGCCCAAAGCCCATTTGAGAACTTGTGTAATTGTCTCCCTTCTATGACTATGCTGCAACCTTTCTCCTCTGCACCATTTGCATACCAAGGGAGAGGGACTTTTGGGAGGACCCCACACCCAAGCCATGCTCATATGTGGGGACAATAACCCATACTGATACCATTTCTTTCCTAAGCAATTCAGGGATCTGTCCTTGTAGGCAGCCAAAACTCTTAAAACCCCATCTGGCCACTTTTTTCTGTCCAGTCGGGATGAATGAACGGTGTCAAAATGCACGTCAGAGGATGGCGCTGTACACTTACAGGAAGGAGGGAGGCTTGATTGGAGTGGCAAAACCAGGCAGCTGCGGCCTTGGTTTTTGCGCGAAATAAAATAAACTTCCGCGCTTGAGTATTAGCATGTAAGAGCCAAACTAGGAAGCTCCTCGAAGCGGAACAAAGGACGAAGGGGACGAGATACCTTGCCGGACGCTTGTCGCTGTTGCACGCAGCGCCTTCCGTTCCATAGAGGCGCGCAGGCGTAGAGCGGCCTCCGGAGGAGCGACTGCCATGGCGCCCGAAGGTGGGGTCGCCGCGCCGCCCGGGCCGCGCAAGTCGTCCTGCTGGAGCTGCCGCGTCCTGGGCGGGGCGGGGCTGATGGGCGCCGCGTGGTGGGTCTACCTGGGCCCCCGCAGGTTCATGCAGCAAGGGCACCCCCCCACCTTCTGGCACGTCACGCAGATGACCTTCGCCGTGAGTAAGTGCGGGGCCTTCCCCGGCGGCGCCTCGTCCCAGGCTGCTTGCTTTGCTGGAGGTTGGCGGGCCCGGTTGGCGCCTCTGAGCACATGCAGAGCGCCTCCGCCTCCCGGCAGCGTGGAGGGTGTGTCACTTGTGGCCTTCCAGACGTTGGACTGCAACTCCCATCGTCCCTCGCCATGGGTCCTGCTGGCTAGGGCTGATGGGAGTTGCAGTCCTTAGACCCCCCCCCCCCTTGGGCACCCCTGGAAGAGAAAAAGAAAGCCTTGCTTTCAGTCCAAATTGCTGCTTGCCCCAAGCCTGGAGCTATGCAGTTGGTCTGCACTACAGTTCCCATAAGCCCCTGCCTGCATGGCCCATGACCTGATTCAGATGCTCGTATATAGTTAATTTATAAAGTGCATACTTTATATATCAGATCAGCTTAGGAAGAGGCTTTCGGACACCCATCTCTGTCGTAAAGTCAACGTCTGACTGGTTCCTCACTTGCTATCAGTAGATCTTTGCCAGGCAGAAGGTGCCCTGGACAAAAACAACCCAAACTTTAGCAGAGCAAGATGGTTGCAGCAAATGGTTCCTGTAGGAATTGCTGGTGGACTTGGAATGCTTGTTGTAACTGCACCCACTGCTGGTATAAATGGGATTTTCTGATAAGAGACATACTTTACTTGTGTCTGGAGTTTTAGCAGACTCTGCAACAAAACAAAACATGCCAGAAAAATTGAACCTGTTCAGGGTTCTGGCCATACCCTCTTCTGGAAAAACTGAATTCCATCCACCAGGTTCTTCATAATTTCCCTGCTGAGTATTCTGTGGTCATTGAGCATGGCCAGGCCTCAACTTTCTTTTTAAAACCCCAAATCTTGTGGGTTCTCTAAGCATCGTGGTATCACACCATCCCCTCCCTGGCTGCATTCATGGCTGTCCTTTAGCGTTCAGCATGTATGCTAAATTCTAGAAGGAAGTTATTTCTTTCAGAACTGTGCTTCTCTGCCACTAACTATCCCCCTTTCCTTCCTCCCAGGTCTTGCCTGTTTCGGTGTTGTAACAATCTTCCGGCCAGTTGGGTCAGGGAAGAAGGAATCATAGAACTCCTATCAATCTTTTCCCATCACTTGAACATCATGGACAACCCGACTGGACTTGGCTTTGTCTGTGGGCACTGCCATAACTCAGCTGAGGGAAAACTGCAGCTGTACAGATCCCGTCCCCTCCTTGCGTGAGCTGCACAGATGGATGTGTGTTTCGCTCCCCTCATTGCTGTGATGGTCAGCAAGGGAGGCAGCACTGCATGAAGCCTGAGAGGAACTGAGTTTAATTTTGCATTAAAAACAAACAAACCCTGGAGGTGCCTGATTCTGGGTGTAATTTCAGCTCTCGTGAGCAGAGGTGTTGGCTTGCAGGCTGAATTTGATCTGATTTCTGGAGAAGGAATCAGAATACCAGCTTGTTTGGACTTTAAACTCTTACCTGCCAGTAGCAGCGCCTTTCAGAATAGGGGCAAAACACAAAGGCTGGGAATCCTCCACATGGTGGCAGGCAGACCATCTGCAGAGCCCTGGGTCACAACCCAAAGTAGGCCAGATTCTTGGTGAAAAATGCAAATACAGAAATTCACTGTCAGAAGATGAGATGAGGGCAGTAAATTTAAAGATCGGTGAGTGGCCATATTATTGCCCCTTAATTTAAGAGTAGTCTCCCTCTGAAAACCATGTCATGTAAGATGACATCCTCAAGCTGAAAGTCTAGTAGCTTTTACTGTGTCCGACAAGCCACCTTGTAGGCTACCAGCATATTTCCAAAATGTCTGTACCTCTCCATATGCTGATATGGCAAACAGTAAAACAGGTAAGAAAATAGACTGTTCACAGCATGATCAATAAAAGCATGGCTCTTCAGTCAAGAAAGGTTTCACAGGGTAAAGAGGGTTCCAGGGAGGCGCCAAAGCCAGAGGCTGTGTGGTCTCCAGCACCAGGCTGTTTCTCCGAAATGGAACCATCAGGGAAAGAAGGACGCCACAAGCAGGAAGAGAGAAGGGAGAGGTGTTTATTCAAGGTGTGGCTGGGGGCAGGGCAGGAGTCAGGCTGCAACCTGAACACCCCCCCCCCGCCTGCCCAGTAGCCGTGGGGAAACCCAACAAGCTTCCGTTCACCCTGTGTGCATCCCAGCCCGAGAGATGCTGCTGCTGCTGCTTTGGGAGTCTTTGCAGCCAGAGCTGGGGGGCAGGGAGACTTGGGGTGGCCCCCCGCAAGGAAGGACGAGGTTCACCTCGGGCAGCGGCGAGGGAGGGCTGAGGCCAGAGAGAGCGTGAGCAGCACAAGGCCTGTTCAGTTGTGATTGCCCTTCTTGGCCACGATCAACACAGCCGAAGGCACCAAACCTGGAGGAAAGAGGGAGTGGAAAGAGACTGGTGTGGAAGGTAGTGGGGATTCTGCACTGCGCGTGGGCAGGCAGACGAGGCGCTCGGTGGCTGGGCGGCTCGGGAAAGCGGCCTCCAGTTTGCTCTGTCCTGGTGAAAGGGGGAACTGGGAACATGGGAAAGCCCTGAACCTGGGTCAGACTTCAGTGCATTGAGGCCAGTTTCAGGCCAGTTTTCCCAGCCCCTCCTGGAGAGGCACTAAACGTGTCCTTCAAACCAGGAGTTCTGAGTGCCAGCACATCTGGGGCCCGGCAGATGTTCTGAGTGCCAGCAGACCAGCCCATGTCCACAGATGAGGACCAGCTGCTGCAAAGCAAAGCATCCGGCAGGTCCCTCCTTGGGGAAGGGCGGTTACACTGAGAGAGCGGCAGAGGTGAGCGAATGGTTTTCACAGGGAACTCCTCTAGGCGCCAAAGACCCGTCCACCTGTTAATTCTCTTTTCAAAGTTTCTCCAGGGATGCCAAGTCCTCCTCCTAGACAGGGACTGGGGGGCTGGAGACCAAGGCCCAGGGAGAGGGGACTGGGGTGCAGAACAGGAGGGGAGCTGAGGCTTGCAGAAGGGGCATCAGCAGTGCCCAAGGGTCAACCGCTGCAGCCCGCAGTTGTGGGTTTGAGAAGCAGGTTCTGAGAAGGAAACATGGGGCAGAGAGGGCCAGGCAACCGGGAACGTCCGACCAGGAAGCACGGAAGATGCAAGTCGCTCCTAGCAGTATGGCCAATGGCTGGGGCTGATGGGAACTGGAGTCCCAAGCGCTTGGGAGTGGTGGGTCGCCCATCCCTGCCCTTAAGAAGCAGCCTATGGGGCTGCTTGGCTGGCGATGCCCCCACACGGCTGGGACACACCCAGAGCCTGGGAAGCAACTTTCCGGGCCGTCCCCGCTCCAGCCCCAGCTTCGTCGCGCTCACCCAACTCCTGCAGAGGCCTCTCCATGTCCTCCTCAGTGAAGACACGGCGTGGGAAGCTGGTGAGCAGGTTGAAGGGTTCCTCACCGCCGTCCTGGCGGTTCAGCTCCACGTAGAGCCGGACGGCCGCCAGGGGCTCTTTGGCTTTGAATGTCTGGGTGAGCGACGTGCCATCCAGGAGCCTCACCTGCCGAGGAAAGGGCCGGTCAGCACAGCTCCCCTCCGACGGCAGCGGGCCGCCGGGACGGAGCGGCGCCTCGTTGCCGACACAAGCACACGCTCGGTGCCGTCGTCCTGTTTTCAGCATTTTCATTTCCACGTTGCCCAACAGCCAAAGGAATTTTGAGGGATTTTTTTTAACACTTACCCTGAATGCTGTGGCCCTTTTTAGATTGCTTTCATAGATGTTTTACTGTGCCGTGTTTTACTTTAATATGTTTTATGTATTTTAAGCTGCTTAGGTGGCAGTTATAGGTGGCCTATACATACATGTATAAATAAAAAAAGATAATGCAGCACCTTTTATGGCTGGTTTTTCAACTTTTGCGAGCCACCTAAAGAGCATTGGCTACTGGGGGGTTGGCCGTGCGGAATGTTAAAAGCTTGTTTATAAGGATTTATACACCACATACACCAAAAAGATTCAAAGGAGGTTTCCCAAATCTTGAAAACCATGAGAAATAATGCCAAATGCATTGAATCTATTGTATCCATGAAGGACGGAAGGCTTACATAAATAAATGGGCCTTTAACTTGGGCCAAAAGACTAAAAAGTGTCAGGGAATATATACTCTTGGGGAAGGTGATTGGATAGAGAAGGCATTGTTATGATACATACGCCACTCCAACCTCCTGTAGAAGGATCTCAGGAAAATTTGGCATGCCTAGCAGAACCTCATGACTGACTGGGTCTAACGGTGAAGAGACGCTCTCTCACGTAACCAAGTCCAGATGTTAGGGCCTTACAGCCTAACAAGAAATCCAGTCAGGACGTCCATCAGCAGTCAGTGTGGTTCCTTCTGCACAGATGTTGTATGTTGTTGGTCCCACTGCCCCATGCAGTGAAAAAGTTAATACTCTCTCCAACTTCCTTACAAGCAGCACGAGCCCCTGAAGCACAGTTACAACTAACCATGGTGGGAGTGTATTCAGACAACACCCTAAGCTGTAGCAGGCTGGAAACGCCAGCCAAAAAGCTGCTTGTCTCTCCCAGCCGTCTCTCAGCCACGCTGGAGGAAGGCAGAAAGAGGTGGCAAGAGGTGCCCAGGTGGGCCGGCATGGCAAGAGACACCCCAGCGATCAGCTCCGCTTGGCCAAAGGCTCTGCGGTTCCAGAAGGCACAGTGTATCCAAGAAAAAGGAAGAGCGCGAAGGGAAGCAATGGATATAAGAGACGTCTTTTGGTAAAAAAAACATTAGCCACAACGGTGCCACCCTCTGCACATTTAGGAAGAAATTAGTGGTAAAATACCCACTGAGCCTTGCTTTCTTAGTATTATATATTTGTAACTCGGCTTTCTCCCTTTGGCAAGGACCCCGAGACTCTCCTCTCCTCCACAACAACCCAGGCAGGCGAGACTGAGAGTCCCCGAAGGACCAGAAGTTATGCAAAGAGCTTTATGACCGAGGGGGCACTCGAACGCAGGTCTCCCAAGATCCCGGCCAACGCTCCAAGCACTGCCTCACACTGGCTCCCGGCTTTTCGTTCAAGAATTCAGCGAGGCACACGGAGCCTCGCTCCATTACCTGTATCCTGCACTGGTCGTACTCTCGCTTGACGGGGGGCTCCTGGCTGGGAGACGGGGGGACCGGCGTCGGAGGCACAGGCTCCGGTGGACTGGAGGCTTGGGAGGAGCTCCGCCCAAACTGGAGTGAAACAAGCCAAGTGATTAGTACGGAAACCTCCACTAGGCCATGCTACCCTACACCAAAGCCTGCTTTTAAGTAGGCCGGGGCAGGCTGCCTGCAGGGACAGGGAACAAGCTGTCCCAGCAGCCCCCCGCAAAGATTTCAGGGCCAGGACTGAGGGGCGTTGCCGTCGGCCAGTCCAGACGCGGAAAAAGGCCTCTTCTGAGTGTTCCACGTGCCCCTTCAGAGCCTGGACACACTCTGGGTCTGAGCTCTGAAATGCAACCCTGGAACCGCCACGGCCACCCTTCCTCCCGTGCACTCGCCTTCTTCGCTCTCTCGGCCTTGTCTCGTTCAATCTTCTCTCGCACCCGCTGCCTGGAATGGAAGACCGTGTTAAAGGGGGCGTGAGAGGCCGGCCTGTGGGGTCCGAAGGAGGGCGGTCCTACGGAGCCCCTTCCTCGGCATTCTCACCCAGCAACGCTCGTGGAAGCAGCTTCAAAATAATCAGATCTCCTGGTACAAGGCAAAATCTTCCGCTGCATTCTGGGGCAGGGAGCATTTCCTTGAATGCTGGGGAGGGGAGACCCCTCTGACCCGGGTCCTTCCCCCTTCACACGTCTTCGTTGTCTCGTTTCAACCATTTGCACCAGCAAGCCACAGCGCCCCCCCCCCCCCCAGCCCCTGCCCAACTCTCCATCTCGCAATTTTTCGCCTCCTGTTATCCACGTCCCACAAGGAGCCTTACATTCACTGAAAGGGCACCAGGCCGATCCACTGGTCACTGGGCCTCCGTTGCGCACATTCAAAGAAGCGCTAACAATCAAAAGGTGTTAAAACCAAACAGAAGTGACAGGCGTGGACAGAGCAAAAGAGCGAAGCTGGGCAAATTATATCAGTGTCCTGCATCAGGGAGATGAAAATACTAACAGTTTGGCCGGCCAAATTCCCGTGAGGAAGCAAATTTCTGAAACAGGCACTGGACACGGGGAGGGAATTAAGACTGATGCAAGCCACCTGCCCTTCCAAGCAGCGCCTGCTCTCTGCAGCCCACACATCGCTGGTTTAGCTTGCCGTGTCCAGTATAAAGGTTTTGGTCCACAAGCTAAAGAGTCGTTTCTCCTGCTGAAGCTTGGTGTGATCTGTGACTATCAGGAAAGAACCATGTTTGGATTTTCCTCTGATGACTGGCCAAGGGCCAGGGCTTAGCTGGAGAGCCCTGGGTCTGTATGCAGAAGGCCCCAGTTCAGACCTCAGTACTTCCAGATAGGGGTGGGGGGAAAGCTGCCTGAAACTGGGGAGAGATGATACCAGCCAGTTTGGAACGACTGAGCTCAACAGAGAGGGGGCTGTACCCACTGCAGAGCAGTTCCCAGTGTTCTCTGGCCTCCGTTTGGGTTTGTGAGGACCGCAACCGTCACCCAGCCCAGTCCCACGGAAGCCCACTGTCCGCCACATCCCGGACCGGACTCACTTGGCCAGCTTCTCCTCCAGTTTCTCCCGGCGGCGTTCCTCCGCCAGCTTCTTCATTTCATCTTCCTGCAGCTTCTGGCGGATGAGCGAGAGCTCTTGGCCCTGCTTCCGGCGCTGCTTCTCTCGCTCGATGCTCTCCCGTTTCTCGCGCTCCTCGCGCTCCCGCTGTTTCTGGGAGATCAGCTCCATCATCCTGAGGGGAGAAGCACCAGAGGGGTTCAGTGGCCAGGGGGCTGCTGCCCACCCCTAGAAACCCTGGCCTACAAGACTCTCGAACGTAGGAACATTCAACTCGCTGTAGCCGAGAGAGAGTGGGAGGGGAAGGACTCAGCTTTCTACCCCCTTTCATGGGGAACTCCCCTGGTGGCAGAATTATAAAACCATGTGCATTTGCCTGTTTGCAGAATCCAGGTTGTAGAACGTCAATTAACTGGGAGCAAAAGGGTTTCTCTCCCAGCCACCCCCTCCTTAAGTGTGGAATGCGCACACAGTCACGGGTACCTCTTCGTTTGCTCCCGCTTCTCCTCTTCACTCAGGGGGCGCCGGTTGTCTTCTGCAGTCAGCTCCCGCAACGTGGGATCTGTGGGGAGACACCGCCATTATTTTCGTCTCCGCAGAGCGTAGCCGAATGAGCAAGAAACGCATTGACGGTTGTGTTGGAGGAACTGGGCCCAAGCTTTCTCAAACATCCCGGGGCGGTTGAGGAAAAAAGCAAAACAGATTTCATAGAATAGTAGAGCTGGAAGGGCCATGAAGGCCATCCAGTCCACCCCCTGCTGTTGCGGGACACCAGTTTACACCACCCCACTCAGGTGGCTGCTCAGCTTCTCTCGGGCTATCTCCAGTGTGTTGCCATCGGTGTCTGCCAGTTGGTACAGAAATAAAATACATCATACAATAACGGGTGGGGAGGATTCAGGCCCTCCCTGAAGTTCGCACCACACCCCGGGCCCCCTCCTGGTTTGCTCTGACCTGCTTCGCTCTGTGCCAACTCGGGTGCCTTTCCCTCAGGGGGCTCCTCTGAGCCCAGAACGGGGCCTTCGGGGGAAACATAGGGCTCGTCCAAGTCAGAATCGTTCTCATGCTCCATGAGCCTGGGAAAGGAGGAGCGCCACAGATCAGCAGAAGAAGAGGGGAGCAGGGAAGGAGGCTGCAGTGGCGAGAAAGTCTCAGAGGAGGCACCTACCAGTCCATCGCAGATTCAATGCCCTGGTTCCCAGTCAGCGCTAGAGCCTTCTCTCTGGAAGGGGGGGGGATGAAAAATAAGACAGTGTGCCCCACCCGAACCGTCCATGCATGTTTCCGAGTGCAATTCCGCCCCCAGCCCCTTCCGGCAAGGAAAGCATCCACGCAACAGTTTTTATTTTTCCCTGCATCCCACCTGTGTGTCACTGTTTGCACTGGGAGCTGCTCCTAGGACTCTTGGGCAAGGGATGCAAAACTGGCCCGGCCGGCTTTTCTCGTTCATTTCCCTCCTACATGCCTCCCTCCCTCCTCCAGGAGAAAATACTCACGCTCTGTTCTGTGGGAAGCCCATCTCGATCAGGCTCTCCAGGGCAGTGCTCTCCATGCTGCTCCACCGCCACTCCTGCGGCCGACCAATCTGGAAGAGGAGCAGCAGAAACCCAGGGGCTTGGAATTCTGGTTCCCTTGTTGCATTTACTGATTTTGCTATTTCACCCAGGACCGCCTTGGTGGGTTTTGCCATCTGTAGATGCATTCTGGGAGGCCCATTTGCTCCACAAGGCTTACTATAGGCAACGGGTAGGGCCACCTGGGGTAGGACCCACGCAAGGAGGTTAAGGCAGGCCTCCTCCGCCAGGAATTGACTAGTGACCACAGGCAAAATACTCTCTGCTTCAGCTCTCACCACAGCCTCAGTTGCGATACAGGGAATACTACTAGATCGCTTTAAAGAGCTCTGCACAGGTTACAGCCAGATAACCCACACGAAGAAGTATTTGGTCACTGACGATTCCCGTCTCTGCCCTTCCTCTGAAAATTCCAGTTTAACTATTTTCTTCGGCTGGAGAAGGGAACTTTTTTTTCTTGCTATCCTTACTTCTGTTGTGCTAATCCGTGTTAGAAAGTTTTTTCTCCAACAAAGGGGCACAGAGAACGCACAAAGCCAACAGTAAAGCCCCCCCATCTACAAATCCCACCACCCTTCTCATGGGGCTGCGACCGACTCCCCCACCGCCGCTCTTTGGAGGACAGCTCTCATCACCTCTGGCCACTTGCCCTGATGGCTGGGGCTGATGGAAGCAGGAGCCCAGCTCATCCAAAAGCACCACCGGTTTAGAGAGGGCAGCTCGAACCCGGCCCTGGACTACAGCTGCCATTATGCGTGGCCCATGGGCACACTGGCAGGGGCTGATGGGAGCTGAAGTCCCGCCTGTCCGAGGAAGGACCCCTCGCTTCGGCCGCCCACCCTCCACCCCAGAATGAAGGAGCCCCACCCTCAAAGAGCTTCACAGCAGGGAGCCAGAAAGGGGCGGGGCCACGGAGGGCGCCGGGGCGGGGCTACGGCGAGCTCCTCCCCCGAGGCGCCCTCTTTTCTTAAAGGGACCGTCCATCCCCCGAAGCAAAGTGGGAGTGGGAGGAAAGAGGAGGAGGAGGAGGAGGAAGGGCGGGCTGGGTCACGTGGGGGCCGCGCAGGCCGCTTTCCAGGGGCCGCGGGGGAGCGTCCCTGCCACTCACCGGAGGCTCCGTGCCAGCAGCTCCTGCTCAGGTGGCGGCGGCGGCAGAGACACCGGGAGCGGCGGGTCTGTCGCGCGGCCGCTGTTTGGATCACGTGGTCAGGCTGCCGGAAGCGCGGAGGGCGGCCGGCGAGAGACAAAAGCGGTGCGGCGCGGCGCGCGCAGGAGCTTCGCCTTAAAGGGCCAGGGCCGAAGAGGCGACTCCGGGGGACCTTTTTTCCCTCCCCTCTTCCAGGCCGCGTTCATTAGTGCGTTCGTTTTTAGACCCGTTTATTTTTCATGCTTTTCTACCTTTTCCTATTTATATTCATATCTCTTCCACGTACACGTTTAGAGAGAAAATACCCTACAATTCCCAGCATGCCCTAGGCGGCTGTGCTTCCTGGGGCATGCTGGGGGTTGTAGGCCATAGAATCGCACGCTCATTCTCCCCCCCCCCTTCATTCATTCTAGGTCTCCTCTTTCATTTCCTTCTTTCAAACTTTTCTTTTACATTCATCCTGCATTTTCTTTTTCTTTCGATTGTATTGTTTTCTTTTACTCCTTCTGCCCTTTCTTTTTCTTTCTTTCATTGTTTCTCTTCTCCTTTCCTTTCATCCTTATTTTATTTATATATTTATTCATGATATTTATCTCCCACCCTTTTTCCTGCAAAGAACCCAGGCTGGCTTACATGATCCTCCTCTTCCTCTCCATTGTATAGTCTCACAACAACCCTGTGAGGTAGGATAGGCTGAGAAGCAGTGATGGACCCAGAGTCTCTTAATGAGCTTTAGGGCTAAGGGAGGACTAGAACCCGGATCTCTCCCCCATAGCACACCGATTCTCACCTGATCATTTCTTTAATTCCATTCATTCATTTTCCTGTCATCCTTTAAACATTTTGTCTACCCCTTTTCCTTTCCCCCTTTTCATAATGTCTTTTACTTTATCCCTCCTTTCTGTTCTCACTTCATTCATTCATTCATTCATTCAGGACACATATCCTGAGTCTGGGCAGAAGATCAATGCCCCCGGATGCCCATCTGATGCTGTGGCTGGCTTGGAGCAGCCTTCCTACAACTCCCATCTTCCCCAGCCAGCATAAGCAGTGATCAGGCATCACAACATGCCCTCTCTGGTTTAGAACTTGGCACCGTTGTCAAATTATTTTGCTACTGGTTTTATCTTGCTTTTATCCCCTGAGATTACACTCACTCACTCATCTTGCTTTTCCTGTTTATAATTCATTCACTCTTGAGAAAATGCCCTTTTCTGGGCAACTTCAACTCCCAGAAATAAGATGAACTTCTGCCACGAAGAAGTTAACATCCGAGCGGCCGATACGGCTCTCCCTGTTAAGCTGGTACAGGCATTTGCTAAGCTTTTGGCTGCCCACCCGTTTGGGGGATGGTGGCCTTGGGGGAGATGCCGGGAACACCAACTGTGCGAGCTCCCCCCCCGAATCGTGATCTCACATGGCCTCACACTGTGCCCTCGCAAAGGAATCTCCCCCACTTCATTCTGGTCTGTGCTATTGTGCGAGGGGAGAATCGTATGAATAATTATGACCCTCTTTCTGCAGCTGGTAGAAGCTTGGGCTTGGCGCCAACAGAGAGGGGGGGAGGGAGAGAGAAAGAGCGAGCTGCTTAGAATCCAAGTGCACCGGCTACTCCAAATGCAGAACTTTATACAAGTGCAGAAAACCCGGGGAATAGTCTGCCAGGCGGAGGCTGGACCCGGGGCTGCTAGGGAAGGCTTGCAGAGGGGGAGCGAGGGCAGGCGGTGCGTGAGCCAGGGCTTGGGGCCAGATCCAGGCGAGGACGTGAGGACTGAGGGGCCAACTCAGGGACAGGCCCCAGGCGCAAAGCACCAGGACGGAGGGCGAACACGGCAGAGTTTGATGCCAGTCGAGAGAGAGACGACGGTGTCCCTGTCGCGTGCCGGGGGAGGCAGAACGCACGGATGGGGGCCTGGCCAGCGAAGACGTCCCGGGCCGAGGGACGCTCCTGGCCCCCGTGGCTGCTGGGCTCTGCCGGGTGGCCGGCCGGGCAGCTGTGCCTCTCGGCCGGGCTCTTCCTGGGGGAGGTGGCCGCCAGCCGGGCGACGGGGTCCCTGCTCCTGCTCTCGTGCGCCTACCACACCCTGGCAGGCGCCCTGGCCCTCGGGACGGCCCTGGTGGACGCCCGGCTGGCCGCCGGGAAGCCCCCCGGGGGCAGGAACACCTTTGGCTGGGCACGAGCCCAGACTGCCGGGACCCTGGTCAGCGCGGTGTTCCTGAGCACCCTGTGCCTGGCCCTGGTGCCCGAGGCGCTCCGCCGCGCGGCCGAGCCACGGGCCACGCAGCATGTGCTGGTGCTGATGGGGATCGGGGCCGTGGGGATCCCCGTCCACCTGGCCAGGGCAGGGCTGCAGGAGAGGCGTCCCCGAGCAGGGGGCAGCAGGCCCTGCTGTCGCCGGAGCAAGGCCCTCCGGGCTGGAAGCAGCGCCCAGGAGATGGAAGGTGAGTCGGCTTCCGGAGCCTGTCCCGTGGAGGAGCGTGGATGGGGCCCCCTCATCCAGGCCAGGAGGAAGAAAGCTGGGAGCAGGAGGATCATTCCTGGAGCTTTCCACGGGACGAGGAAGAGGCAAGCCCGCAGCTTCTTCCTCTGGAAAGCCTTGCCGGCGAGGGGGGCGGCTGCAGCGGGGTGCCCGAGCTCAGGCCCCCACGGCGCACACTTTGGGAAGGGCCGAAAGGGGCAGAGGGAGGGTCTTCTCGCCAAGCAGCCTGCGGGCCCCCCCGCCGCTGCGAAGTGGGGCTGTGGCGTGCTTGGCGTGGTAGTTGGCAGGGTTTTGGAGTTTGGTGGGGAGGGCGACCTTGTAGCCCTTCCCAGCTTGCTGCTGAGCATCCCGAAGGCACCTGCTTGAGGAAGAAAGCTCCGGATTCGGAAGGACCCTTAACCACATCCGAGGAGTCGGCCCTTTGCTCTCGCGTTCTCCTTCCGGCGTGTCTCCACTGGAAACGGTGTTCCCCTCTCTCCTCTGCAGACCTTCTGGGGAACGGATCTCCAGCGAGCAGAAGGCCCTGGGTGGAGGACAGCCCGGAAGAGGGCGCCCCGTCTCGTGCAGAGGAACATGGGCCGTGGGGGACCCCTTGCTGCGGCTGGGTGACGGTTTGCGTGGGCCCGCTGGCTGTCCTCCTGTATTCGTTCGCGCTGCAGCTGCTGTGCCCGGGCCACGCGGCCTGCTCCGGCCGCTGCCCGGGGTCCCCGTGCCCGGAGGCCGCGGCGTGTGTGCGGGCCCCTCCCTGGCTGCTCCACCTGGACCCGGCGCTGGCCGTGGCGCTGGCCGGGGCCCTCCTGCGGGCGGCGTGGCCCGCTCTGCGTGGCTCGGCCCTGGTGCTCCTGCAGGCCGTGCCGGAGGAGCTGGACCTGCAGCGGCTGGCGGGGCAGCTGCGAGCCACGGAGGGGGTGGCCGCCCTGCTGGAGCTGTGCGTGTGGCAGCTGGATGGCCCCGGCAGCTGGGTGGCCACGGCCCACGTGGCCTGCCCAGACGTGGCGGCTTGCGCGGAGGTGGTACGCCGGGTGCGCCGCGTGCTCTGGGAGCACGGCATCCACCGCTCCACCGTGCAGCCGGACCTGGGGGGGTGCCAGGAAGGACGGGGCGAGGCGGTGCGCGGGAGGGGCCCGGCCCCCGGCCTGGAAGTGGTCGTGGAGTACGAGACCGCTGTGTGAATGGCCCCAGAGGGGAGGTGGGCGGGATGGAGACAGGAGGTCCCCGAATGGGCTGGTTCCCCCGGCATTTGCTCCCACGAGCCCCCAAAGGGGCAGCCAGTCGGGTTCCATCAGTATCAGGGACCTTGCTGGCTTCCAGGTATTGGACTACAGTCCCCATAATCCCTGGCCACAGACAGCCAGATGGGTTCCATCAGGGTCCGGACCCTTGCCTGCTTCCAGATGTTGGACTACAGCTCCCATGTCAGCGTCTGTCCGCACCTCCCCACCGTTCTGTGAGGCTCAGCAGGGTTTTCTGCCAAGCCACAGATCTAATATCACTCCTCAAATGTTTGGACAAGGCAACCCTCCGCCCCCAAAAGCTTCCGCCATTCCACCCACAGCTCTCTCCTCGCTTTCTTTCCTTCCCTCCAAAACACCTTCCTGTTTTCTGTTTTCACACACACTCTCAAACGGTTTCCAAACCCCGGCCTCCGCTGAGCTGTTTTTCATTCCAAGGGAAATCAGTCCCTGCCTCCGGAGATCATCTAGCAATTCTCTCCCATAAAGTCCTTTTGCCAAATCCCAGTCTGGGAAAAGCTGCTTCAAGTCCCCAGAAGCCTCACAAGAGAGTCTTGTGGCCGCCTGGAGATGAACAAGCTTATTTTGGCACGGGCTTTCGCCCACAGCGTCCACAAAAGTTTTTGCGATAATAAATGTGTCTGTCTTTAAGGTGCCCCAGCGCTCGTGTTTGCTGCGAGAGACTTAATGCACAACATTTATCTATATGAACTGCGGGAAATATGTCTTAGGCAGCAAAGTTCACACAGAGTTAGGTTGAAATGATGCCAACGAGGAGCCACCAAGCGCCCTGGAAGCGAGCTGCTGGTGTGTCCCCTGTCCAGGTGTTTTGGATTCCAATTCTACCATTCCCGGCTTCGATGGACCTCAAACAGAGGGCAGATGGAGGAGGAGGAGAGGGAAAATATGGATTTTTGGCGTTGACTCGAAATGCCAGGATTTCTGGAGTCACTTGCCCACGCCCTTGTTTGCCTTTCCCAATAAAATGAAGAATAATAAACAGCCTAGGAAATACGATCCAAGGACTGTGTACAGGAATTTGTTGCTAACGGTTGGTTTGCTTTTAAGGGTTTACGGGAGTTGGGGACCCTTTCCCTGCGTGTTGCTTCAAATGGGGGGCTTGTGGAGCACCTCGGCATGTCCCCAGATCAGTCACAATCGCACCTGAGATACAACTTCCACCCAGGACAAATTCTCTCCTGCTACCTGGTACCTGGGGTCTTCGTGATGCTTCAAAGGCCTCCTACGGCTCCGGCATCCATCACAGCTTCCGGAATTAATTCTTCTTCCTTTCTGGGCTCTGGTCTTGGGTGGGCTCAGCTCCCAGCATTGCCTCTGATTGCAGGGAGGGGTTTTCTTTGCAAGTTTTGCCATGCAGGCATTGGCGATTTCACTTCCGCCTTTGCTACTGGGCAAACCAGTATCTCCGTGTTCACCCTTGACCTGTTCTTCAGGGTCACTTTCCAGATGTTTTTAACTCTTGTCCATGTCCACATACCCATCAGTGTCTTGGAAGGAGGGAAAAGAGACTCCTTAGCCTCTGAGAGGCAGTGCAGCCTAGTGGTGAGCATGTAGGGCTGGGACTTGGAGGGGGGGGGGCTGTGTTTGAGTCCCAATTCAGCCATGAAGCTCATTGGCTGACTTTGGGCCAATCCCAGATACTCAGCCTAGCCTACCTCGCAGTGTTGTTCTGAGGATAAAATGGAGAGGAGGAAACACTTGTACGCTACCTTGTATTCCTTGCAAGAGGAAGAAAGCTGGGGTAGAAGTCTAATATATAATTGTAATGAATAGTCCCCCCCCCCACACACACACACACAAGGTTCTGCTCACATGACAGTGTGGTGTAATGGTTAGGGGGCCCGGTGACAAGTGGGAAAAGGTGATTTCGAATCCCTGATCAACCACATCCCCTCCTGGCTAACTACGTGTTGTGTCCAATTGCAAAAGGATGGTGTATCCTTGGAGTGACTCAGCATGAGGATGTGGTGAGAATAATGCCGCTTCTGAGCGAACGTATTGTTGAGAAGTTAACCCGAACTCTGCGGTTCTGTCCATCAGCCAGCAAAATGAGCCCCTTTCAGCACATCGACCCATCTGACCACAAGGGAGGCCGTATCCGGGAGCCTGCAAGAGCCCTGCTCCAACCCCACTCCAAGTTGCAGGATTCACCCCGTGAGACCAACTCCGGTTTGGCAGTCAAAACAAACCCTCAGCTAATCCACCAGGCAGGACCTGAGCTAATCAAGCGTGCCTTGCGAAATCTTACGCTGCGGATCTAAGAGGAGCGCCTCCTAGAACTGAATCAGGAGGCACTGAGCCGAACCTGAGTGCCCAGGTATCTCACCTCCCCAGCCAGACTCCGCAACACCTCAGTCGATCCACCAGCTGCCTCTCAGAACTGACAGACCGGTTCTGCAATGCCTAAAATTTCCTGTACGACTAGGAAGCCACCCCAATCGACCGCCACTTTGAGCTGTCGATTTTGATACCTTTCTCTTCCATTCCGTAATAGCGGAGTCAGGCCAATCCACCATCAAACACACTTTCAAGGTGGTCTTTAAATGAGCGCCGTCCAGAGTTCTACCCGGGTCGAATGCAGCTTCAAAACAAGCTACATTTCACCCATTTGGCATGTTGTGGCCATTTTGTAAACAGCAAGCCCCTTTTTTTGGGCCCCCTGGCAGATCTGGCCTGCGATGGGAGCCCAGGGGGCACTTTGCCCCGAGCGCAGTCTTCTCTTGATCGGAAAAACACCTGGTCTGAAAATCTCCAGTACTAAAGCACCATGTCCAATGTTCTGTAACAGAGGATTGTGTCCGTGCAAAATGGAAGGACTCACCGGCTCGGGCTGCAAAACTTTGCTGGTCTCTGGGTAGGGATTATTTCAACGGCGTCCTGCTTGCAACTTTTCCAATCCGGAGGTGCCCTGTGAAGAATGGAGAGGGGAAGAAAGAACGAACCCTCCCTGGCTGGCGTGGGTCCAGTCCCGGTCTCTCAGCCTGGCCTACCTAACAGGGTTGTTGTGAGCATAAACGGCACACATGGGTGGTCTCAGATCTCCCACCGCCCAGCTTGAGGAGAGGACCCAGGTCTGGCTGGGATCCGCACTGTCTCTCACTTCCGAGCAAATAATGAACCGGATGATCGACTCAGGATTAAGTCCCAGGGGTTCGGTAAGCGTGCTGAAGATCTGCAGCCTTAATCCAGTGTAACTTTTGCCCCTCTCCTCAGTTCAGCCTAGATTCCCAGTCTGTATGGTACCTGGAAAGAAAATACATCAAGGAGTATAAGTGCCAGCTTTTCTCTCTATCAGGTACAGGCCTGAAATGGCCACAGCCCTTCTTTTGTAGACTATCTTATTTTTGAAGGCATTTTCTTGTAAGCGGTAGGAGGAAAATTGCTTGCTTGGAGATACTGGCAGTCACCCCTCTGCTCTTGAGAGTCTTCTCAAAGATTTCTGACTCACTGTTTTGCAACAATTACACCACCAGCAAACTTTCCTCCACCCAAAACAAAATAAAAGGCTGGAGATCAGTCTATAAAGGGACCATGAGTGATTCTCTCATTTCAAGCGAATTTCTGGTCTGCAAGCCACTATTTTTCTGACTTGGTTCCCTAAACTGTCAGGGTTGGCTCAAGATATTTTGCTGAGGTGGCCAAAGGTTGGCGCCCCCCTCTCCAGGCTGGCCTTGGATCAAAGCAGCCCCAAACCAAGAGACACAAATTACATAAACGACATAACAATACAATAAACACCCTTTAACTTGGGTTGGTGACGTTCTAAAAAGCGAAACATATTCTTAGAAATAATAAACATGTGTATCTGTGTGCGCATGACACTTAGCAAAGGAATTCAGGATTGACCTGTATTGAATTAGCTAACCAATTATCCAAGAAAGCTCACATAAACATGCCTAAAATATGATTAACACTAATTAAAGCGGTTAAGATTCAAGCGCATCCCTAGAATAATAAACAGTACCTATTGCATAGATTGCATGACAAAAGTAAAGGCGTTTGTCATGGTTTAGAATTTCCCTGGAAGTTTACAAAAACCTGGCCTGAGATATTTCTCCCTGTGTTTTGTCCGGCTTTCCTGCAAAAAGGCAACAGTTTAGATCCTTGTGACGGCAAGTCTGGTTTCCTCTTAACACCCCAAATTCCATTTTCTTTTAAAAGGGATTTAAATCAGACGCTCCAATGTTAGCTCAGCAAACACGGCTGAAAAGGACGAAAGGGTGTCAGCCGTCGTGAATGTTTATACCAACATCCTTTCCAGCCGGTTCTGAGTCATGAAACAAGATACCCGGACAGAATCTGTGGACTTTTATGAGAAAAAGGGCAGATCAACAGCTATCCACCTGGTTTTGCTTCATTCGGACCCACTTCAAAGAGGAAATGGGAAGGGGGGTGGGGGAGAATCACATGCCCCGGTCTGGATGTGGTCTGGGTTTGTTTTTATTTTCGCTGAGAAAAAATGACAGGTAAGGAACAGGCGAAAGGGAACAAGCCGCTACTGTGAGCCGGAGCGGCCCAGCCCATCGAGGGAAAGTTTGGAGTGTCAGTGCCCAGGTGGGCTTCTCGGACATCTCCCCACTCGGCAACAACATTCACCAGATGGCCACGTGCCAGTCGCTCTGGTCCTCAGATCAACCTACCTCACAGGGCTGTTGTGAGGTGGGGCACAGCTGTGGGAATGGAGAGCACTCTAGGGTTTGGAAAGGCCCGAGTCATTTTGCTGAAATGCCAAAAAATGACATTTTTGTGCTGAAATGCCAAACAAATGCAAAAATGTCCAGAAATGCCATTCGAATATTATTTGGAAACTGCTGGCCCACATCATAAGGTTCTTGCCTCATGGAGAGCTTTCGAGGCCGGGCCACTGAGGCGAGCCGCTTGCTGGCCCGAGAGGAAGGGCCGCGCGAGTCACGGCGGAG